GGATCGTCTCTCAGACGTGACTTTCCGAATAAAATGTGGTCGGCGAGATAAGCTGAAGGTGGCGCATGCCAACAGGCTTTGCAGTTATCACGGTCTACGACATTTCAAGTGAAACGAAATGAACAACAGAACAAATGACGCTGCTGAAGACTTGTCATCTGAAAAAGCCACTGTTGGAGAAGAAACTCTACCCGGTTTTGAGAAGGAAAACAGTGAAGCCGTTAATGAAGTTACTACCACTGATGTGACTGCTACCGATAATGGGACGACATTTCCTGATGGAGCAGAGGAGCCCCACGTGAAGCAGAAGCCAAAGAGACAGAGACCAGTACGGAAGAAGATACGTCCCGTAAAATTAAGAGACTTTGTTGAATTTTAATTTTGTGTTTGTAAATACTGTACATTTAATTAAGTTATTGTTAATTATCGATTGGTTTAATGTAAGTGGCTATTGTTCGGGACGAACAATACTAAGGAAGGGGCAGTGTTACGACGTGCGTGAAGAGTTTCTCGTATGATCGGGGAAGTCCAAGTGTCTTCGAGATGCCCTCTTTGTTAGTATATAAGCCTGACGGAGAAAGCCAGCGGGGAGATAAATGAAGAGAGAGCAGTGGTTACTTTGAGTTCCGTGTAATTTAAGATTCTGTTAGTTTCGAGTTAGTGAGCCGTAAAGTGTGTGTTTTGCACTCGTCGAGAGCGAAGTTATCGAGATTGTGAATTGCTGTGATGTATAGCGTGTATTATAAAAGTTGTTAAGTTTAAAGTGACGAGAAACGTACTGATTTTGGAACTACCGTGTACTAAAAGTTTGTATGGAGGAAGAATAAACTGGTTTAATCAAGAAAGGACTTGTATCATTGAAGATCCTCGGAAAGAATTTATACCGGAAACAAACAAACAAGCAGATACGTAACAATATTTTTTTTCAAGAATTGTGGCTCAAACCTCACTCACTATAGTCCTCATTCATGTTATCTGTAAAAAAAGAAATACTAAATATTTACACGTCGAATTTTATAACGTCTTATCAGGGGCCTCAGTAGATGAGAACTTGAAATATTCGACAGCAGGGTGATGAAAACATGGGACCAAATTAATCGTAATAAAGACAAAGATATTCATCGCAAAATTTCCTTTAAATACGTCATTTCACCTTCCTTTTTTCAGTTGGAAGTGATTTTTTCACATAATTATAATTAGTTGTTTGTTTTTAGATTGTCATCTGCTTATTATTTTCATTATTTATGATAAAATTTGGCCAATATATCTTTTTTAATTAAGTTTTCTCTTAACATTTTATCGCGACAAATTTCATTTCAATTGAGTTTGAGCTTATAAAAGGATAAAGTATTAAATCATACGGAAATATTATTAGACGATAATTTAAATTTAAATTCAACTGGCACAGGTTAAAATGGGAATCAAATTCGTTTACAGATCTAGGAAATAGTATCAATAGAAAATAAACAATGTTACTATTGTTAAGTCTCTGATCGTTTGTTAATTTCCCGTAGAAATTCTTTCCGAGAATTATTTCTCGATACAACTTTATAATACACAGAATTTTCACAGTCAAAACGTTTGCAACCTCGATAACAAAACATACACTTTATATTACCGTCACTACCGCTCATTTGACTCAATTATCTGTCTCTCTATCTCTCTCTATCTGCAATTTTATCTCCGCTTTATTTGCCGGGCTTATATACTAAAATAGAGGCG